AAAAATCTTTTATTAACTCTTTCACTCAATTGTGTTGTGTCTAGAATGAAGGAAATAAACTCAATTTATAGCCTTTCCTACCGACCGACCTTCCAAAAAAACCTATAATCCAATAAAAAATTATGAGCCATGTTTCTTCAAGTGAAAATGAATGGGCCATGCGTCCATTTGACAAGCAGAGCGAAAATTGGCTGGAAAGCCACATAATTTATAACAAAAAGTAAATTAATTATTTTTTCCTAGATGGAGTATTTCCAAAAGTAATAATATTGGATATGTAATTTTCTGGGACATGCTTGCTGCTGGTACTGATATAGGATTTTTAGTTAAATTCCATTCGGTTTTGACAGGAGGGGCTGTCCAGGAGCTACATTTGTTGTTGCCATGATTTTCGTCGATCATTAATTGTGGGGTATTAGAGTTTTCTAACCAAAGCTTTGGTTATTAGTACTTGTTACATAAAATCTCTCTATATGGAACTAGTTAATTATATTGATATATTAATTATTTTGTTATTTGATGGAAAAATGTGAGAATTAAAAGACTTGGATTAACAGCAAGAAGTGATATGATGATAAAAAATGTTTATTTTCTTTATTAACTTTTAAGGTTCAAACCACATTGGGGTCAGTTATTATATTTGTGATTTATTTTAGAACATTTAACTTCTTCTTGGATTCCAATTACTTTTTGTTGTTTACTTTGTAATATTTGGTTTATAAGATGTTTAATAAACTCTAAAAATTAATTAAAATATGTATAAATTGGATCAAACACTATCATTATTAAAAAAAAAAAAAATTATATTTAAAAACTAATAACATAACCTAATCTAAAAAAAAAAAAAAAAAAAACACCTTGGTTTGGTGCTTGTGTGTTCATTAGTTTGATTCGTCGCAGCTGGAACGTACAGGGGGGATTTGGACCACAGCTTTTATTTAATTTGGATTCTTTTCATATCCTCCACAAAAAATAGCTAAATAATAAAAAAAATCTGCAATGATTATTGAGGGCAAAAATAGCTTGTGATTGTTTAGGATGACAAAATGAGTACCATAAATAAATAAAACAATCTAGAAATACAAAAATTGAAATAAATTAGACATCTTTAATACTTTAAAATTTATAGAGACTAATGGTGCATGGAGAAAACTTAACGTGGCTCTAATTGTGAAGTCACAGTAAGAGAGTAAATTTAGCCACCTAATTTTTGTCAAAAATGTATTTTAAATATAACACATCATCTTAATGCCTATTTGGTTGGACTTTCCTACTCGTCAAAAGAGCTTATTCAAAGCTATAAATATTTTTGAAATTTTAAATTGTTGCATTTAAAGAATGCTTAGGGGGCATTTGGTTGAGGGTTATGTGGGATTACTAGGATTAAATCATCTTATATTATTTGATTACCATGTTTAGTTGTCAAGTAATATAAGATACCGGTAATTTTTAAATACCAATAGTGGTTGCTATTAGTAATATTGAGGGGATGTTTGGATCATATAATATTTTTTTATCTTAGTAATAAGATTACCGGAAAGAAAGATTACATTGTAGATTACCGGGTTTAAATTATTATTGTGCTTGGTTCAATAGGGATGTTTTAATAATTAATGTATTTGGTTGATAGTAATAACAGATGTCCTGAAATACTCTTTTACTAAAATGCCCTTAGGATGATTACTTGTATTACTAATTAATCTGTTTGGTTGGTTGTAAGAGCAGATGTTTTGATTACATTTTACTAAATGTCATTTAGATGATTACTAGATATAAATAATTAATGTGTTTGGTTAATAAAAGAAATGATCAATTAACAAAATTCTTTTTCTTATATTTTAGCCAATTATTTTATTGTTAAGTCATTGTCAGGAGCAAACAGATGCAGACGAAGACTTGAGGTTGTTGCGACAGAGATGGTCGACCAACGACAGAGGGAAGAGGGAGAAGTTAGACTAACGAAAACAAACAAAATAGAAAACGAAAAATGCAATGGAAAGAGGGCGAGGGACTTAGAAAATGGCGAATGGAGTGTTGTTCAGATCAAACATATAGAGACAAAGACTCGAGGCGTTGCGGTGAAGATGGTTGACCAACGGCAGAGGCAAGAGCGAAATCTTAGACTAACGAACGCTAAACAAACCCAAAATGAAAAATACAATGGAAAGAGGGCATCTGACTTATCAGAAAATGGCAACCGGAGTGATGAAGTCGCGAACGAGATCAAGAAGAAGAAGACCAGAGATGGCGATGGAGGATTGCTACAAAGTCTCTGTAAAAATGAGTATTAGGGTTGAGAATTTTTTTCTTTTTATGTTGTAGTTTTAGTGAAATAAAAGGGCATATTAGTCACAATATGCAAATATGTGAGGATAATATGGGCACACCAATATTTCGTGGCATTCATGAAAATATTGATAATAAGTAGGGCAATTTTGTCTGAAAAATTAAAAAACTGAGGACAAATCCGTCTTCTTGAGCAGATTATCTGTTTTGTAATTATTAACAAAGCCAAGGATATTTTCGTCCACATTGCCCATTGTTTTGGGGTAAAATTGGACAGAAATTTGGATTACTGAAGTAATATTTTAATACCAGCCTCCCCCTAGGTAATATTATTCCCGCTGATTTACCCTCAATTTGGCATTGTTTGACATTTTTTTTTCTGAAAATGTTTTTTTACAAAACAACCAAACATGGTTATCTACTCAATTTAAAATATATTACCCCCGTTATATAATATCAACCCGATCCAAACAGCCCCTGAAGGTAATTTGATTACCTCTATTTTCTTTGGTATTCTAAGATTGTTAAGGTTATCTTTTTTTGTTACAGTTCTATCCCTTATTAATAAAATTTTAGGACAATAATGCCAATATTTTTAAATTTATTTACATGAATATGGTTTTTATTATTTCACCCCAATTAATTATTTTTTTGGACATAATTACCCTTGAATTCAAAACAAATTGCAACCCACCCAAGCCACCACCCCCACCTACCTGTCGCCGCCCGTAGTTAGCAACCACCGCTGTGGCCAGCCGTCGCCGCTGTCGGAATGGTGCACGGAAGGGCCAAAATGGCTGCCATACGCCGATATGGCTAGATCTAATTTGGCCGTCAACGACCAGATCGATGGCTGTTGACTGCCAGATCGACAGGTCTGGCCTTTGACGGTCAGATCTGTCACGTCTGGCCATTTCCGGCCAGATCTGTCACGTCTGGCCAGATCTTTGGCCGAAAATGGCCATGCAGCGCACGGAGGCCATTTCTTGCCTTCCGTGTGCAATTAGGTTGCCAGCTGCCGACAACTTGTAGTGGTTGTTGGCGGCCGGCAGTGGCTGGGTTGGTGGGGGTGCTTTGTTGATTTTCCAAACTTTTATTATAGGGTTGTTTTTGCTAAGTTTTTAAATGCAGGGGGGTTATAGTAATCCAAATAATAATCAATATTAAAAAATAATATAATAATAATATTTAATTAGAGGACAATTCAGTAATTTAAGTAACATACCCACCAATTTATTCCTTCAACCAAACATATTAATATAACATATCTACCAATTAACCAAACACATCTTCCTAAAGATTCCCAGTAATCTTCAAGTAATCTAACTTTCCAGTAATCCAACATTCCTAGTAATCTAACATTCCCTGAACCAAACGCCCCCTTATAGAATTTTAAATAAGCCGAACAACGTGCACACACTCATAGTTTGACATGAAGATCATTTGGTACCCAAAAAGTTTAGGAATGACAAATACCCACTTTCCATTAAGTTTTGTTAGTGAATTTCGTCTCTTGAAGGATAGTGTGGTAATTGCCTATTCAATCGAGAACAAAAAAAAGAGTGGATGTTTTCAAAACCAAAAAAATTTTGGTTGCCAGCGGTAGGAAAATGGTCGGGGAAATCTTACAATCACTAAATAAATATTAACGGAAAGTAGGTGTTTATTATTTTCAAACTTTTTGGATATCAAATTATCTTTATGGAAAACTATAGGTGGGTACATGTCGTTCTACTTTTAAAATAAGCTATTTTATGAGAGAAGCTCTTTTTCACAAATGCTGAAATTTAGAAAATAATATCCTTATTATATTTTATATATTTGACTTGGTTTACTCTTATATCTTAAAGCTTCTTTTAGTGAATTAATTCTAGAAAACTCTTTTATATTTTCTTAACTGAACAACTAACAACTTCTTTTTTTACGAATTTAATGCATGACATGAGTTTAAAAATTGGGGGTGATATCTGTGGGTGCATTTGGTTCAATATTTCTACCTATATTCTCAATCTTATTCTCCAAATATTGTTTGACACATTATTCCAGAAATATTACTATATTTTTTTAATTATTTTTAGACTCTTTAAATTTATTAATTTCGTTAAATACCCCCAAAAAAGTTTAAAACTAACAAAACACCCCCATCAACCTATACTTGCCAGATTCCGGCAACCACCATTGGTGGTAGCCGGAATCTGTACAACGGCCTATACCACGACGACCACTGGTTGGAAAAGGTCAGATCTAGCCATCAGCGATGACCAAAGATATGGCTATCGTTTTCGGTTAACGATGGCCAAATCAGATGGTCGTCGTTTTGGCCTTTTCCAACCGTCGACGGCCACAGCAGGCTGTAGATCTAACCTTTTCCAGCCAGATCTACCACGGATTTGGTCAAAAAAGGCCATAACGACGTGTTATGACACATATCTGACTAGTCTGTATTGTAACGTAATTTTCTAGCCAGATTCTGGTGGTGGCCGGAATCTGGCATTACGGGTGGTGGGGGTATTTTTGTCATTTTATATGTTGGGGTGTTTAATTAAATTAGTAAACCTAGGAGCTTTTTTAAAATTTTAAAATTTTACCTCGTAATACTTCTCTATTCAACTATCTAATATTATTTCTAAAATTATATCCAAAATAATAAACCAAACGCACCATTGTTTTCGAAACCATGTTATTTGGATAAAGTTTGAGGGTGAGCCGAGAAGAGAGAGAAAAACTGGGATAAGGAGAGGATTTGATCCACAGATCAACTCCGAGTCCGATTCAGGATAAGTTGTTTCTAGATATTTATTGAGCTCGCTTTCTTCCAGGCTTCTATCAGGTCCGATAAGTTGAATCAGTTGTTCATCTTCAAGCTTTAGTCCTTTCCGAGAAAATTTTACCCCACTTTAAAGTTGGAAAAATGTCCAACATTCTGCACGTATTTGAGCTAAAATCAGTCTTATTGCATCCCTGGTCCGCTCTCGCCTCACTTCTTCTCCTCATATTCGTTACAAAATGGTGCTTCTTCACCTACACAACAAGAAACAAACACTTCCCACCTTCACCGTCAAAGCTTCCAGTTATAGGCAATCTCCACCAGATAGGTTTGCTTCCTCACCGCTCTCTCCATTCCATGGCTCAACGCTATGGCCCCATCATGCTTTTGCGCCTCGGCAAGGTCCCAACCCTCGTGGTTTCCTCCGCGGACGTGGCTAGAGAGATCATGAAAACTCATGATATCATCTTTTCTAATAGACCCGATTCCAAAATACCTAAAAGACTTTTGTATGATTACAAGGACTTGTCGTTGGCCCCCTACGGCGAGTACTGGAGGCAAATGAGGGGCATATGTATGTTGCAGCTTCTTAGTATGAAAAGGGTTCAGTCCTTTCGGGTCATCAGAGAAGAGGAGACTCATCTAATGTTAAAGAAAATCGAAGAGTCTTGTGAATGTTCTTCTCTAATTGATTTAAGTGAAGTGATTGCTTCACTGACTAACGATATTGTATGCAGGGTTGCTTTTGGCAGGAAATATAGTGAAGGGGAATGTGGGAAGAAGTTTAAGAAGCTTTTGGAGGAGTTTGGCGAATTATTGGGTGTTTTTAACGTGGGAGATTTTATTCCATGGCTTGGTTGGCTAAATTATGTGACTGGTTTGAAGGTAAGAGTGGAGAAAGTTTTTAGGGAATTTGATGATTTTCTAGATGGAATCGTGGAGGAGCATATGGAGAAAAAAGTAGGTACGATAGAAGATCAAAAGAATTTTGTTGATGTTCTGCTCGAAATTCAGAAAGACAGCAAAAATGGTGATTCAGTGGGTAGAGATGGTATAAAAGCTATAATTCTGGTGAGGATACTAGCCTTATTCCTACATCTTATTTTCTTAAATTCACTTGAAAGAATTTTTCCTGTCAATTATTTATTTGATTTCCACCGTAATTTTCAGAAGGAACACAAGATTTTGTGTTCTAACTTAAATATGTTCTGTAATCTTTTCCAGCTAAATGTTTCAGAAAAAGAGAAGTAGAACAAATCATTTTCTGTAAAAGAATGGGAATTGGAATTTGATTTCTCTAAACCATGGCTGTAGCTGACGGCCAAATCACCAAATACCATCACTGGTGTTCAGATTATTATCTTCAATTTCAAAATGGGTAGACCTTTTAGAGAGATTCACAACTCATTCCCTTCAAGCCAAAGGCTCAAATTTATAATTTCTTATTGTTTGGTACTGATATTGATTGTTCAAATCTGATAGATATGTGGTCTATATGTCATATTTTGTAGGATATGTTTGCTGCTGGAACTGATACCACATATACTGGCTTGGAGTGGGCAATGACAGAGATACTAAGGCACAAGGAAGTCATGAAGCAAGTGCAAAATGAAATAAGAAAAATTATTGGAAGCAAACCCAACATAAGTGAGGTTGACCTGGAGAAAATGCACTACCTCAAAGCAGTGATCAAGGAATCTTTTCGATTACATCCCCCTGTCCCATTATTAATTCCACGAGAATCAACTGAGGATGTCAAAGTTCAAGGCTATGACATATTAGCCAAAACAAGAGTAATTATCAATGCTTGGGCAATAGGAAGGGATCCAAAGTACTGGGAAGAACCCCAAGAATTCAGACCAGAGAGGTTCCTCAGTTCTTCCATAGATTTTAAAGGACAAGACTTTCAGTTAATTCCATTTGGTGCCGGTAGAAGGGGCTGTCCTGGAACTTCATTTGCTAATGCCACAATTGAGCTAGCATTAGCGAGTCTTTTGCACAAGTTTGAGTGGGCAGTGCCCAGTGAAGGAAGAGGAACGATCTTGAATGTAACAGAATCTCCTGGAATTACAGTTCACAGAAAATTTCCTCTAGTTGTTGTTGCAACTCCTCGCTCTCTTTAGAGTGAGCGAAAAGATAGACAGAGGAATGCAATTGTTCACCAAATTGAAGTTAATTGTGTGTTTGTATTCTAATACCTTCTTGTGTAATAGTCAATAAAAATAATTCTGTATATGATTGAATGTCTCCCAATCTCCAGCATTAAACAGTAACGCACACTCGTACAAAATCCCCACTGAGACCAGTGTGATCCTTTGTTAATTAAGGCAGAGCCAGAAAAGTTTAAACCTGAGAGGTTCATGGATACTAGTGTAGATTTTAAAGGTAATAATTTTATTCCATTTGGAGAACTACTTTTGCGGTTGCCGTCATTGAGGTTGTGTTGTATTGGCAAGTCCCTTGCACAAGTTTAACTGGGAATTGCCTGGTGAAGCAAGAGGGGAATTGGATATAATTAAATCAAATGGGATGGCCATACACAGGAAGTTCCCTCCCTCTTGTACTTGCAGCTACTCCCCACTCTTAATTTTCAAAGTACATCGAGGTCCACCTGTTATGTACAGTTCAAAATAAATAATAATGTTCTATACTGAAGTAGTATATTCTGGATATATAATTTTTACTTAAGCAAAATATAAAAATATGATTGATAATTGACAAAAAAAATATTAAAAAAAAATTATAACTATACATTATGGGCAATACTACACTTACCGATCAAGCTACCGATTTTCACATACTGATCCATCTGCCCAATTACCCAAATCTCAAAATTTAACTCAATTCACATGAGTCAGTATGTCAAATCGATAGTTTAATCGGTAATTCAAGCATTATTGATACATTATTATTAATGTACAAATATCGTAAGAACTCATATTCTAAAAAAGAAACTAATTTTACAAGACGTGTGCCTTAGTGATAAATAGTTGCATGTTTTCAACAATAGCCGACCCGAAAAATTGGGCCAACAGTTGAAACAACAAGGCCCATGGATTAATCTCATAATTTGTTAGCTCTGATTCTCAAATTTTAAGGCTTCGTTTGGCTCACATTTAGGAATACTACTATTAGTATTCCCAATAAAGTTAAACAGTAAAATTGCAAAAACTCATAATATTATTTAACTTTTTTTAAACCCCCTAAATTTATTAATTTAATTAAATACCCCTAAATATATATATATATATATTTTTTAGAAATTACAAAAAAACCCCAGCAACCCATATTTACCATATTCCGGCCACCACCGTCAGAAAATGGTCGGAATCTAGTATAATAACACACTATTAGCTGAATCTGGCCGATAGTGCGCCGATCTAGCTTTTTCTGGCCAGATCTGGCTGTTGACGGCAAGATCTTTGGCCGTAGTTAGCTGTCAACGACGGCCAACACATGGTCGTCGTTGACCATAAACGACGGCCGTATCTTTGGTTGTCATTGACTAACAAATACAACCAGATCTGGCGGTCAATGGCCAGATCTAGCCGTAGATTTGGCCTTTGCCAGCTAGATCCACCGTGAATCTGGACGAAAAAGGCTATATCGGCTCAAGACTGGCAAGATCCAGCCGGTTATGCACCGATACGATGACTCCGATCACCCTCCGACGGTGGTGGCCGGCTGTCCATATTTAATGGGTGGGTTGGGGGTATTTTTGTTAACTTTTAATGTTTTATTATATGAGTTTTTAGTTAATAAACAAATATAGGGGGGTGTTTAATAAATAAACAAATATAGAGGGTATTTTTATTTATTTTCAAACCATACGTCGTAATATTCGTCAAATTCAATTTTTTTTAACTTTTTTCCGAAATTTTTTCTAAAAAGTGTAAAAAAGTGAACCAAACGGAGTCTAAGTTGTGCCTTGATTATTTATACAGGTATTAAATAAATTAATCATCGCATGTGTATGACAAAAGAGTGAGATTATTCATACGGGAACACTTGCAGCATGATTTCCAATTTAGATTAAAAAAAATAAAACTATAGGAAAAATGATCTTGACGTGTAGACAACAATTAAGGTTATCCATTACGAAACATAAAACTTTAATAATATTTAATTATCACACATTTATCGAAATTTAGATTTTGAAACATTATTCTTAACCGTCTAAATAAAATACATTATAATATATCAAGTTGACTATAGAATAAGACACAAATAATATTTACTAAATTAAAATTAGCATGTGTCCATGAAATGGACAATCGGCAACCGACGGTAAAACATTAATGGAGAAAAATTAATTCGTCCTTGAGAGGAAAAAACATATTGACTTTTCCACTTATGTTGGATAAACAGCTCATCTTCAGGCATCCTGCAAATACTATTAGTCCTTAATTTCAATTTTATCTCCAGGTCAATATATATATATTTTAATGACCGAAAAGTGTTCCGACCAGCTTGTACGTACCTTAATTAATCATTTGAGATGTTGAAACTACTGACTGAATAAAAACTCCAATGTCTACCTACCTCCTCTTGCTCTTTTACCGACTTAAATTTGAGAGACTATATTATATCTTTTTTTACTCTTTTATCATCAGGTCACACAATTGGTAAATGTATTTCGCATTTCTTATAAAGAAAAACTATTATTGTAACTTACACATTGGAAGCACTCCATAGATGTTGACTTTGGTTAAGTGATTAAGAAGAAGATGATATAATAAGTTAATTAATCTTTGTTGTGTTTAATTTTCTTTTGAAGTTGTGATATCTAAGTAATGCTTAAATTTTAATATATTAATTGTATATACATATAGTGAACAAAATAGAGATATACGAAAAATAAAATAAATAGAAAACACACAAATACAAACAGTAAAGAGAAAGAAAAAAACGTGCGATTTACCTTGGTTTCCTCAATTAACAGGTTATATCCAGTAGAGTCAGTATTACTTCAATACTGTCTCACTTCTCTCGTTTACAATGAATAAATTTTTTCTATTGTTTGCTATCACTCAAATACAAGAGAAAACGATGTTTATATGCTAAGTTTAAAGTGTAAAACATATTATTACAATGATTTATATTCCTAAGCTCAAACCCAATTAAGAATGCCTTTGCATGACCCATTAATGTTGAATTACTCGACAACTCCAACATATAGTAAATATCTAACATCTCTCTCGTTTGTTTATTACTTTCACATTAACTACTCAGAAGAAATTTTGTTATTCAAAAACCAGATTAAAAAAGTATGGACACACGGTTGCATTGACATAGTCAGATTATATGTGTACAAATAATTTCACATGGGACAACGCCTGCGGCATTCTTAATTACAAATAATTTCACATGGGACAACGCCTGCGGCATTCTTAATTACTTTCCATATAGTTTATCTACTGACCAAGATCAATTTGTTACATTACTTCCAATTTGATGATACGTGATATGTTGACCTTTTGAATATTAATCAATTAATCTTTGACTCTTTCTTCTTGTCCGCTGGATTATATTTTAATGTCAAACATCAGGACAACCTACTGGATGTATGCCAATGGGACCCTCCAATAAATCTATTTGAATTGGCTCTGTATCAATGCAATCAGGCAGAGTGTGTCGTGGGAGCCTCTGTATATAAATAGGGAAGCAGATAGAGGTAGGAGAAACACCAGAAAACACTTGCAAGATAAAGCTAGATACAAGTATGTTGCACTCTTCCTTCATCTACGTCTTGCCTTTCATCTTCTCTGCACTAATATTCTTCCTTACCAAATGGATCTTTCCTTCTTCAATCATCCGAAAACATCTACCACCATCACCAATGAAGCTTCCAATTCTTGGAAACCTCCACCAAATAGGCCTTTACCCTCACCGCTCCCTCCACTCACTAGCTCAACGCTATGGCCCTTTCATGCTTCTTCATTTTGGCAGAAAGCCGTTTCTCATCATCTCATCAGCGGCTGCTGCTCGTGAGATCATGAAAACACACGATCTCATTTTTTCAAACAGACCAAAATCCAGTATAGGTGATAGGCTTCTCTATGGTTGTAAGGATGTGGCAGCCGCTCCTTACGGTGAGTATTGGAGACAGATGAGAAGCATTTGTGTGCTCCAACTTTTAAGTAATACGAGAGTTAATTCATTTAGAACTGTCAGAGAAGAAGAAATAGCATTCCTTATAAAAAAGATTGCAAGTTCTGCATCATTTTCATTGCCATTGAATTTGAGCGAAATGTTCTCTTTGCTCACGAATGATGTGATTTGTCGGGCAGCTTTCAGGAGGAAGTATAGCGGAGGTGAAAGTGGGAGAAAGTTTAAGAAGATGTTAGGGGAGCTTACGGAGCTATTAGGTGGCTTCAATGTGGGGGACTTTATCCCATGGCTGAGTTGGGTAAATCTTTTCAATGGCGTAGATGCTAAAGTGGAGAAAGTTGCAAAAGAGTTTGATGAGTTCCTGGATGAAGTAGTTGAAGAACACTTACGGGAGAGTGGTAGCTATTTAAGTGAAGGCGAAAAGGATTTTGTGGATGTTTTGCTTGAGATTCAGAGAGATAAAACGGATGGCTTCTCTATTGATAGAGTTGGCATCAAAGCTCTCATCTTGGTAAAGACCTATCTCTCTTATGCGCGGGACTTTTTTAGTCTGAACATTTTAATATTAATTTTGTCATAACCATGAATAACGCACTTTGATTATGTTACTTATAGTTATTTATAATATTTCTTGTAGGATATATTTGCGGGCGGAACTGACACTACTTACACGGTCTTAGAATGGGCAATGACAGAGCTTTTGCGGAAACCCGGAGTCATGAAGGTATTGCAGAATGAAGTGAGAGGAATCGTGAATGGGAAAGAGATAATAAAAAAAGAAGATTTAGATAAAATGCATTACTTGAAAGCGGTACTCAAAGAGACTCTTCGTTTGCATCCTCCAATTCCTTTACTAGTTCCCCGAGAATCAACCAAAGACGTCAAAATTAAGAACTATGACATATCGGCTGGAACAACAGTAATCACTAATGCTTGGGCAATCGGAAGGGACCCCAATATATGGGATAAACCTGAAGAGTTCAGACCAGAGAGGTTCTTGAACAATTCTATAGACTTTAAAGGACATGACTTTGAATTGATACCATTTGGTGCAGGGAGGAGGGGTTGCCCTGGTGTCTTATTTGCAATGAGCACTAATGAAATTGTGTTAGCAAATCTTGTTAACAAGTTTGATTGGTCATTGCCCTTTGGAGCAAGAGTGGAGGATTTGGACATGACAGAGTGCACCGGTCTTACTATCCATAGGAAAGTTCCTCTTTTGGCTGTCGCAACTCCAACTTCTTGTTAGAACTATCAGCATTCCCTATTCCTCTCTATCTGCTGTATCTCGGTTTACTTGTAGTAATTTGAACAGGTGTACGAGTGGTAATATTCCTATTATGCTTTTTATACGCCAAAAAAAAAAAAAAAGTTATAAAATTGGTACACTTTTCCGAAATTAATGTGGTTTGACAAAATATAGCACTTAATTTGTATTCTTTCTAACATTAATCTTCCCATCAGACAAATCATATAAGGAACTAAACTCTAAAAAATATGATCTTCTTAGGATAGGAAATTAATTCTTGTTTCACACAATATGATTCTTCTTGATAAAAAAGCCTGCCAATATTCAGCAATTAGAGAAATATACAAGTAATTTTAGACTACAAGTGATGCAATGATTACGAAGAAGGTGTGACAAATCAGGGAACATGTGATCAGCGCCCTCAATGTTCATTGTACATGATATAAAGAGTAAACGATTTCTTTTCCCACCCAAGGTTTCCCTTAAGATATTTTCTCACGAAAAAAGTTTTAAAATACTACAATCCTACCTAAAGTTTATATTCCATTAATACCTAAAATACACTTCACTTTCTTAGCTAACATTCGGTGAGTTACAAGGAACTAAGGTAAGAGAAGTTTTATAGAGTAAAGACCAATGGATCGAATGACGATGACCAATTAAATATTCGTTGTTGGAATCAATCGGAAATCAGTTAAAAACAGAAAACTCGAGCTTTGTAGTAACCGACAATCGATGAAAAATCAGATGTCGGAGTGAGAGGTTATGTAAAGAGAAGATCAGATATTCATATAGTGATGATAGAGAGAATTTTTATAATCAGAATCGGTAAAAATTAGCTTTGGATAGTAATATAATATTAGTTTTGGGTGGGAAAATGTTATTGCGGAAAGCCTTGGGTGGGAAAAAGTCGTCTACTCTGATATAAATTATCAAAATCATATTTAATATAACGCGTCCATATCTCTTCTAGTCAACTAAAATTTGTTATTATAAATTATTATCAATAATCACTTTCTTGACAAGCAAAAGTGTGCGGTGAGGTCATTAATTCTTCTTGTTTATAAACGGACCAATTCTACAGAGAAGAAAGAAGATCCCAACAATCACTTAGAAGACAGAGCAAAAGCAACAAAAAGTATATATGTTGTTAGTTTATTACTTCATCTGTTTCTTACTTTTCATCTCCTCTGCATTCTTCCTATTCAAATGGATCTTCTCTTCTTCAACCTCCCACAAAATTCTACCACCGTCGCCACCGAAACTCCCAATTCTCGGAAACGTTCACCAACTAGGCCTGTATCCTCACCGCTCTCTCCACTCACTAGCTCAACGCTATGGCCCTCTTATGCTCCTTCATATTGGAAGAGTGCCAGTACTCATCATCTCCTCTGCAAATGCTGCTCGTGAGATCATGAAGACGCACGATCTCATATTCTCAAACAGACCCAAATCCATTATAGGAGACAGGCTTCTCTATGATGGTAAGGATGTGGCGGGTGCTCCTTACGGTGAGTATTGGAGACAGATAAGAAGCATTTGCGTGCTCCAACTTTTAAGTAATTCGAGGGTTCAGTCTTTTAGAACCGTAAGAGAAGAAGAAATAGAACTATTTATCAAAAAGATTGAAAGTCTTGCATCATTGTCATTGCCAGTGAATTTGAGCGAAATGTTCTCTTTTCTTACAAATGATGTTGTATGTCGGGCAGCTTTAGGGAGGAAGTATAGCGAAGGTGAAGGTGGGAGAAAGTTCAAGGAGTTGCTGGGGGAGTTTACTGGATTATTAGGTGGTTTCAATATAGGGGATTTCATTCCATGGCTTACATGGATAAATTATTTCAACGGTACAGATGCTAAAGTGAAGAAAGTTGCCAAAGAGTTTGATCAGTTTCTAGATAAAGTTGTTGAAGAACACTCACATGGTCAGGAAAGAGAGATTAAAAGCCATGGAGTTGTCAAAAGTGAAGACGGAAAGGATTTTGTGGATGTTTTGCTTGAGGTTCAAAAGGATAACAAGGGTGACTTTTCCTTCGATAAAGTTAGCGTCAAAGCTCTCATCCTGGTATTTACCTCTCTGTGTCCCCAAACATTGCATAAATTGCATAATTATACGATTTTTCATTTAAATACAATTTATTTTTGAGTACTTTTTATTTTTATTTTTGTTTATTAATTTGTTACAGGATATATTTGCTGCTGGAACTGATACCACATACACAGTCATGGAATGGGCAATGGCGGAGCTCTTGAGGCACCCGAGAGTAATGAAGGAATTGCAGAATGAAGTGAGGCGAATCGCCAATGGCAAACAGAAAATAAAGGAAGAAGATTTAGATAAAATGCATTACTTGAAAGCTGTACTCAAAGAGACCCTGCGTTTACATCCGCCTATTCCGTTACTAGTTCCCCGAGAATCAACCCGGGATGTCAAAATTAAGGGCTATGACATATCGGCAGGAACAACAGTAATCACAAATGCTTGGGCAATTGGAAGAGATCCCACCTCATGGGACAAATCTGATGAGTTTACTCCTGAGAGGTTCTTGAACAATTCTATAGACTTTAAAGGACAAGATTTCCAACTGATACCATTCGGAGCTGGCAGGAGGGGTTGCCCTGGAACATTATTTGCGATGGCCACTAATGAGATTGTGTTGGCAAATCTCGTTCACAAGTTTGATTGGTCATTGCCTGTTGGAACAAAACCTGAAGATTTGGACATGACAGAATGTACTGGTCTTACCGCCCACAGAATGGTTCCTCTTCTTGCTGTTGCAACTCCAACTTCTTATTAATTAGTTCAAGATTCCGTATAGTAAATAAAAACCATTTTTTATATATCTAATCATAAATGAGAATTCCGATGACAGTGTAAAAGTATTGTGCGTTTTGTTTTCAAGTCTGTTATTAAGGTATTTTGTGTTATTCAATTTCTTCTTAGTGGCAGCGCCAGATTGTGTTGCGCTGTGGATTGAGATTTAATTGCAAAATGTCAGGAGCATGGACATTTTCATTTTTAAATTGATATTCTTTACCTACATAGTTGATGAATTAATTCTCATCTAAAGAGTTAAAAGTCTAAATTAAAACATAAATAAAATAAAAATTAAAGACATCTACTCAAAAAAGAGGACTAATTTAAGACAGGTGAACATATTTAGTTGAAGTTCATTGCAACATAGGCTAATATGTCGGATACATGGAACAGTGTAGAATGAAAATTGATGCTGAGACATCTAAGAAACGTAACCCATTTTATATTTGACTCTAATGGGTTGAAATATGGAATTTTACCGAAAAATTCAGTAGAAAGATCAAGAAAGGAATATTTTCACGAATCCATACTATCAATTGTCAAATAAAGTAGCCAAAAAATTGGTGTACATGCAAAACTTATAAAGTCTAGCCACTCATGGCATAAAAATCTTATCTCTAGTTGAATCTTTTCTCCAACTCTTCACCACAACTTCAGCAAAATGACGTAGCTATGTTACCCTTCAGACGTCTCAATTCTCGACACCATTCACACCTTTGTGTGAGAGTTGCGTTGCGACATGGCACCCTACTGAAGCAAATTAAAAGAGAAAAAACAGAGAACCACTCGTTTTGATGACCCACAATCGCTAGCAAAAAGCCAAGTATTGAGCACCGGAAGGCAACGTCGGTCCCCAATGAGACAACTGACTGGACGGTGAAGGTGCATCACCAATATATTTTAGGTTAGTGGGGAATAATTGCATTACTAATAATTCTGTATCACAACAATCCTTCACTTCAAGCATGCCATGAATCTCCCAATAGAATTATATTTTTATTTTAATTCTTCAAACATTTTTTATCTAGGATTTATTATAAAAACATCTCCAAAGCACTATTTATATGATTTAAACTTTTTATTATAAAGAGTTTATTCATAAAAATAAGAGTCCATCTTATTCTTTATCTTTTAAAAAAACAAAATTTAAAGAATGAGTATAGCTCTCCACATCTAAGGAGTTAAATTTCACTCTCTATCCTAATTTTAATTAATGAACTGTAATTTTCTATACATTTTATTTATTAATTTTTTCTCCTATTAAATCTCTTTCTTGAAAATAAAGAGCATATTTATTAAATTTAAAGAGTTCATTGAATTTGAATGAAAAATTTGTTTTTTATATTTAGAAATTAATGAAGATACTCTTTATTTATATAAATTATGCTCTTTAAAATAAAGAGCACCATTGAAGATGCTCTAATAATCTTTTCTATGAACTTTATCAAGCCCAATAATGAAAATACATTAAGTATGGTCTAGTACCTTAACCCAATCCCGGTTGGGCCCATACTTAAATCTATCTTGTAAATTGACTACCCAATGGTAGAGTCCATCTTATAAGAAGAACAATTCTATAGGTCGACCCATTCTACAGGCTGAAACACACCATGAGTCAGTCCTCTCCACGAGCTGGGCTACTTACGAGTTGAGCCTCTCTACAATTTTGACCACCCTACGAACTGGGTTAACTTATAGTTGGACCACTCTATGAGGTGGGCCTTTCTACAAGATTAAGCTACATTGGGTTCCAGCCCATCAGCCCATATTCGTTCTAAAATAGGAATTAGAATCCTATTTACTTCCTAATTCATCCAAGACTCCTAATCTTACATGAATTACTATTTCTTTTTCTACATGGATAATCATTACAAGTTTCCTGTTTACTCAAACTTCTAAACTAGAACTCAAAGTTCTACTATGACTCAAGCCTCCTAGGCTTACTATATAAACATGGGTCAAGTCTGTCATTATTCATTCACAAATAGCCTATAACTTTAGCTCTCAAAGTTCTTGCTCCCAAGAACCGCCGCCTCTCCTACCACAAAGCTTGGTTCCGACTAACTTTACCTCCCTTGACCACTGTAAAGTCGCGCTTCGGCCACTTTAAGATAGTTTCCCACTCTCAGTGCCTAAGATAAACACCAAACCGGTGTCCCTTGAGACTTCACGTTCGTTTTTTTGTCTTTGTAGGTCTATACAATTGTCAATGACTCATTTCTCACAAGATCTAACGCTTCCGAATCAACCGTAGATTTTATCGTCTATACTACCTAGTTTTTCTATCAAGTAATCACATAAACAATAACTATTAACATTTTAATCAAATTTCTCCTTAACTTCTCTTTAATCGTGTTGAAAATTCATTACCACCTCAAAGCCCAACTCCCGAATTTCGTTTCCTTGTACTAGATTAGGTTGACCAGGGGAAGGCCGTCATTTAGCATTTGCTGACTTAAACTTAAACCTAACATCACGTTTGGTTCATGAAATGCATTGGAATAAGAATATGGAAACCATGGGAATGAAATTTAAGTAAGAATGTATAATGATTTATTACATTTTTTGGTTGTAATATGAAATCGGAAGTTGTTACGCCTAAAAAAATCAGGGTTGATGTAAGTTTATATCAACAAGCACCAATTAGAGTTCAGGAAGGCTTTGCACTATCCAAAGCCCACCACATCGCCCCAAGACAGAGAGAATATAGCTGTCACCAACCCAGTCGACTCAAGCTTTGTTTGTAGATGAATTTGGTTCACACACATGTCCAAGCCCCATTTAATTTAAGGATATTTCCTAAGTTATCAACCTATGGGACGCAAGAAAGGATTTGCACGGCACATGCCTACTTGCAGATATGTAATCATTACCTTGAAATCAACGGCTATAAATAGAGAGGTCCCTCTCAGAAAATCGAGATCAAACACTTTGAATTCAACAAAATAAATAGCAAAGAGACATCCTATATGAAAGAGATTGGCTTAGAATTCTCTCTGAATACCTAGCTTTTGTAATTCAGTTCGCAGTTTGTGACCTCTTATAGACTTGACTAATCACCAAGAACACTTATATAAAAGATAACAGTGGATGTATGAATCGCCTTAAATATACGAACCACTATAAAATCCTCACTGTCTCATTTATCTTTAAGTCTTTGCATGCGACTGTGAAAGTAGTGACCTTTAATCAAATCTCATAATCAATCATGTGTAACTTTTAAGACCTTCTTAATATTTTGCACGTACGAGGTTGTTGGTATCAAAATCCAGCATCAACAGAAGGAATGCAATCAAAAATGTCTTTTAGGTAAAATATTTAATTTATAAGTATAATACTATAATGGTTTTTACTATGATTTTGCATCACTGAATTAATTTCATGTTTACAAAAATAATATTATTTTTGAAATACAAATTTTATTTAAACAAAAAGTTTCAAAATTTTAAAGTCAGAAAGTTTGAAAATCTTCAAAAACCTAAAAATTTAAAAACTTAAAAAAAAAAATTTAAATTGGTTATTGTCAGTCAAAATCGCTAGCCAGCGAAATTCCTTCAGCGTTATTGGCTATGCTTGGAGGACAAGCAGCCGATGATCTGTCAATCTAGCCAAACATTGGCCATTGATAACAAGTACGGATATGATACTCATGGTGGCCATAATAGAAGGTCATCGCGTGTGACGTCATTCTAGTGATTTTTAAAGGCTGTGATCTGCTTAGGTTGGCCCACCTCTCATTCTTCAACTACCGATGGTGATGCCAATTGCCGACAACATGAAGGGCAGTGGTTGGCCAACGACTTTGTCAATGGTTAGGGGTTGTTTGGGAATGGTGTCAATGACACTGTCGAGCCATGGGTCCGTTTGGCACATCCATTTCCCACTATCTTATTCTAAAAAACAAAAAATACATTTTGTTTTAATATTCTTCAAAACTCAATTCTATTTAATTTCTACTCAAAACATTAACAATCACCTTTCTCACTAAAAATTTTAAAATTAACAAAAACACCCCCACCAACTAGACTTGGCAAAATAGGTGGGTAGGCCGGGTACGGGTCAGGTCAAACGGGTACGGGCCCTTATACGGGTCGATCTATACAGGTCTAATATTTTGGACCCGTGTTCTACCCTATACGAGTACGGGTGGACCCGCGGGTAGACCCGTTTTTTCTCTCTCCAGATTTTAGTTTTACGTTTCACCACTAATAGTTTTCAATTATGACAATTACACCCCCAAAATTCCTGCAGTTTTAATTTTTTACATTTACACCCCCTAAATCAACTACTCTAAATTCAATTCAATTAAGAATATAAACAAATATGAACCAAAATAAATAAATAACACATAAACAAACAATAACATATAATACAAAACTACAAATACCAACCAAAATAATAAATACAAAATCACTAATACACAATCAACATAAACAAACAAAATAAGTCAATAAACTATAAATCTAATTAAAATAAACAAATACATAATCCAATATTCAACAAAAAACATTCTTAGGACTGCAAATGTTCATCCCACAGTGGGCGTGATAGAGTTCTTGATTCCACAGTTTGAGATCAGTTAATGGCACATCAAGATCATCATCCGAACACTTCACCTCATCATCTACAAAACAATGATCAACTACAAATATATAAATGTAAATAGTAAAATATAAGAAATATTATGTTAACAAATTACCTTCAAACTCATATCCATATAGCCAAGTTCGAGTGTATAAAAAATTCTACATTTTTGTTCGAAGTGAGCTTCTATATTTGTTGACCACTTTACTGCCAATACAAAAGAGGACTCCGAGGCTACGGATGTTATTGGTATTGCCATGATATCACGAGCCATCATGGTAAGTATTGGATAACAACACGATTGTTCTTCCAATGATCGAGGATATCTAAATTCTGATATTTGACGCGATCAAACCTCATCTCTTCCAAATAAAGATTAATTCGGATTTCTAGTGGAAATGAAAACACTCTCATAGCTGTCAAAATCCTGTATCATTAAACAGTTAAGTGTCAAAAATTAAAATTAACAATAAACATAATTTATTTATCATAAGAATATAAAAACGA